TTGACGATTTAATTCACATATAGACGACACCTGGAATTGCTGTCGAGGGTTTGAACAATGGAAAATGACCCAGACTTAGAGGGCAATGATCACTGACATGTGTTCTACGCAGCTGAAAATGCAAGCTGTAAAGCGAAAACTTCATTTTCGTAAACAATGAACTTGCAGTTGATTTCTCTTGGTCGAAAGTTGAGTTGAAATACCAGGAGGGTTAGATAAGCTACTGAGCAGGTTTTGTGAGAAGTATTAATATGAGCGGAAGAGGGGAATTCCCCAGAATTAAGAAGTAAGCTGACAACAATGAGGATTTACCGAAATCCCGTTTATCCTATTAATAAAAACGAATGCACGAAGCGAATTCATCAGACGAGACGAGACGAGACGAGACGAGACGAGACGAGACGGAGACGGAGACGGAGACCAGAGACAGGAGAGGGACGACAGAGAGTTCGTCCCAGCCACAGGATTGCCTGCCGAACAGAAACCCCGACTTCAGCCTTGTGCTGAACTTTACCAAAACAGCAACCTGTTGGGGCGCACCCACCTTCTGAGGAGAATGGACTGATCTTTCTACGATATAGGTCAGTGCTAGAGAGATCAGGGACGTTCTGTGGAGATCACGAGATCATTGCCCACTGTTGAGATGTTGGGAGTGTTCCCGCGTGTGTGTATTCAAATAAAGACAAACACAGATGTAGGGGAAAATCCTGGTATATTTAAAAGAGGTATTTAACAACAGAGTGATTAGTAATAACGAATGCAGGTTAGTAATAACAATTAGCAAGAGTCTACAGTTCAACGTTATCTTCCGGTCGAGAGACGGAAGTGCAATGATCTCGTGATCTCCACAGAACGTCCCTGATCTCTCTAGCACTAACCTATATCGTAGAGAGATCAGTCCATTCTCCTCAGAACGTGGGTACGCCCCAACACAACCCAAACTTACCAAGTCAACAATAATATCACTTCCGATTCAGACGCGGGTTGGGCTGATAATTAATTGCATGCGAAGGTACTGGTAGAAAAACAGTATTTACTTTTGGTGCAATTTATTCGATTGTTATTTTTTTTCCTGTACGTCGACGCCCTGCTTAGACCAGCCCAACACAAAGATACTTGCGACAATTCGATATTGGCCTCCTTGTGTTCAAACTTAAATCACAACGTGGGATAAGGCAGGTCTGAGATAGATCGAAGCGATCTTCATCGATCAGTCGCGGTGTTGGAAGTCTTGGACGACCGGGTAGAGTGTTGCACGATTGCAATAGCCACGTTGGCATATCCACGTCAACTAACCAGTATATTTTCTTTTCTTTGTTGACAACGATCAGATCCAGTCTTTTTGCATAGGTGAAGTGGTTAGTGCATATCGCATTATTATGCTTTGACGCCATTTTTGAAATGGCCAAATACATGACGTTTGCAAAATTCCCAGATTATCACTGTTCATACCCTGACATTTCTACTTCAATGTTTTGTTCATGTTAATAACAATTGTAACGCTGCATTAAAACGGCCTGCCAATGTGAAAAACTGTCTTCGTAATTCGAACCACCGGCCAACACGAATCAAGCTACAGGCTAAGCACAGTCATCGGTCATATTCGGCCCGTTTGCTGTACGGAATAGCACACTTAATTTCACGAGGAAAATAAAATTTCTTAAAATTTGGTTTATTTCCTTTCGTTCTCACTTGTTCACTCACACACTCTCTCATACATAACCAAATACATAAACAATGATTAAGTGCAATGTTTCGTAAAGTATTAAGCTTTTTTTTTTAAGTTTTCATCATGTTAAACCGTTGGCAATTTTCACTAAGGAAGATCAGACGTATAAATATCTTTAGATTTAGAAACGGGAAACGTTCATAATAATTTTTCCTCTGAAGAAAAAAAAAATTCCCGTTTTTTTTTTGTTTTTTTTTTTTAAATCACAGAAAAATATTTTCTCGAAAGAAAAAAAAAATCAATTTTTCACCGTTTCTAAGGCAGGTGCTTATGCGTATGTTCTTCTGTGGTGAAAATGGCTTCGGCACCTTAACGAAAAATTTACCTTAAATCTTTTCAGTAGTGTGACTCGCCTCATGATGAGCTCTATCTCATGCAGCCCACTGGTCGGAAACGTTGCCCATTTCTGCTCTTGTATGACACGAACCATTGGGAATCAAACGCAGTTACTATTTGCGAACAAGCCTGTCCCTCCACAGAAGATAATATGCTCTTTACATTATACTCTCAGTTGGAGTGAGAAGACATCAATTTATTAAGCGTAGCTTAGATGTGGCACAAGGTCGGAAGTAAAGGACATCCAGTAAGAATAGACTACTCAGTCGCAAATAATATAGCGAGAACAGCTTGCTAACCATTACACCCCGTCGAAGTGTGCTCGAGTGCGAAGATGTGAGTGGCATGAAGATGCTGTAATCGTCTTTTTCCGTACATTTGTGACATCCACTGCAATACAAGTATGTTATTTGTGACTATTTTCTTTCGCTACTATTCATCATCATTATCATCATCATTAACTTCTTTTTCTTACTATTTATTATTATCAACATTATCACGCCTACTAATAATTTCAACCGCTGTCTCCCTATACTGTATAAAAGACATAATAACTGTTTTCCCTTTCTATTTAAACTGACTTTTCCTGATTCACTCATTGTTATTATTACTGGTATCTGTTGTGCTCGTAGCTTTAAAACTAATTTTATCTCCGTAATAACCATTCCTTTCCATTTCTCGTTAAGCTGCTATTAATTGTTTCTTTTTATCATTATTTTTTTTTTTTTTTGGTGGTGGTGAGGGGGTTGTAATAGCAATAGCCTGAGTTGTAAGAGTTGTGACAACTTTTTCATTTATTTCCTCTTTGGTCGCTCAGCGAGTTATCTGCAGGCGTGACACAAAAACAGGCCGATCAGTTGGCCGATTGACAAGACTGTAGTCATGACATGTAATTACTTAGAAGCACCTTATAACCTTGGCCGGTGATTGGCTGGACACTGGCGTGAACTTCCGTTAGCGAAGAAGAAGAAGAAAAAAAAAACCAACAAAGAAATGTTATGCACGAAAAGAGAGAACAGCGAAAAGTGGGCATTTTTTTTCTTTTTTTTATACCAGCAGCAAGAATCAATTGCTGATAAAGGAAGTAACCGGAAGAATCAATTAAATGCTTTAGATTTCGAAGAACCAAAAAAAAACGTAATTTTCCTTTAGAGATATTTACTGAACTGATCTTAATCTGACACTTAGTGACCGCCAGGGGTTAAATATTTACAAAGCGCAGCTTAGATGGAGCACAAACCCGAAAGTATGAGACACTGAAGATCGAACTCACTACTCAGTGGTAACCGATCTAGCGAGACAAGCCTTCTAACAAGATATTTACTTTGTCTCCCCACTAAGACGAGTTGTGACACAAGGTCAGTTTTTAAAGTGGGGAACCCGAGCGCGTACACCCGGGCAAGGAACAAAAATTGACCGCAGCCCCCTCAACCATCGGTTACGTTGGCCTTGCTACGAGCATCGATCCCTCTTTCTGGTGCAATGAGAGGGCGCGGAATCAGGCAGCTGTCCCCCAGGGCTGGACACCACTTAGTATAATTTTCCTCAGTTGCGACTCTGTCCTTTGACGAAGCCGCCGCTGAGTACACTCTGCCCAAAAACAGAGATGCAACTGAGAAGTGATACATAATGTGTTACAAACTACCCGAGAGAGCAGTTTATACACTTCTAACAATAATTAACCTCAAGGTGCCTGGAGTTAAATATCCAACTTTAGTGAGCTTTGGGGATAGAATTAGCCTATCAAAAGTCTCAACTTCACATACATGAGGTAAGATAATATTTTAGCAATATTTGTTTGGTGCAAAAGATTCGTCTTATACACAGGGTGAGGTAGAAATACTTCTCACATATATCTCTCAGATATATCTCCGACGTAATTATAAAACATTCGTGGCAATGGTGTCTTCATCTAGCTAATGTCTTACCACGACGTGAGAGGTATTTTTGGTAGTTCATGAGGTATAGACCAATAGGAGTTACTGTTGTTGATGACGATCGTCTCCCTTGAAAGGAGAACTCTCCCTCAGATAATACAGCGTAGTCCGAAAGTCGGTAGAATTTTTATTTTTTTTTATTTCAGATAGCTGACGCAAGGTCCTACTGTTTGGAAGAGAGGCTGCTACCAATTGTATGGACACATGATCCTGTGCATTCTGACAAAAGCATGGAAGATGTGCGACATGACTTCACTTCAAGATTCGGCTAACCAGCTCCTCCGAAAAGTGATTGATTTACTTGACCCCCCACCACTGAATCAGGTTGTGACACAAGGTCAGTTTTTAACGTGAGGACCTGAGTGTCTTCATTCGGGCTGCTGGTCATAACTTTCCAAGCTGGTCAGGGCTGGTCTATGCAAATCATGGCTGGTCTTAGCAGGTCAGAGTTGGTCTAAGCTAGTCATGGATGGTCTTAGCTGATCATAGCTGGTCCGAGCTGGTCAGAGCCGGTTCAAGCTAGTTATAGCTGTGATACTACAAGCGCAAGGACGGATCTCACTCACCGGTAAGTATCAGAATGTCTATAACACCCCAAAGAGCGATTTACACACTCACTACTCTGAAGAGTGAGTGGTAAGTCTTTCGAACCAACCTGTATTAATAAAAGGTTTATCTCACCTTCGAGTTATTTCAGCTCAGTTATGAAACAAAGTCGGAAGTATGGGTCCCTTAGTGAAGATAAAACCCAGTCGTACTTTATCTAGCAAAACCAGCCTGCTGACCACGTCAAGGTGTGTAGGCTAAAATAGCGTATTTTCTTTCAGGATAAAAACAAGCCTCATCTTCACATACAAGGTGATTTTTGAGTTATATTTTTCCGGGAGTGGGTGGGGGGGAATTTGTGTTATATACAGGGTACAACAGAAATACCTCCCACATAATGGTAAGACATTAGTGACAATGGTATTTGCATCTAGCTAATGTACCATTCTGGCTTACGGCCACACCACGTTGAAACACCAATTCCCGTACGATCACCGAAGTTAAGCAATGTCGGGCCTGGTACTGACTACAGGGAGACCGCTTTGGAATAGCAGGGGATGTAAGTTTGAATGTACAGGACGTCCGTTATAGTACGCGCAAATATCCTTGGGAAAGGTATGAATTCACCTCTTCTCCCCCAGATGTGGGTTAATCAGTAAAACCTGCATCACTAAAACCATTATTATCTTACGTACAAAATTACGTACAAAATATTTAGATTTATGCATTAAATAACCCATAGAGGTTGATATGCTGCTAAATAAAAACAACCAAGTTACCATTGTGTGTGAAGTATTTCTGGAATGTATCCGAAGTATGTCGTATGTGGGATGTATTTCTGCCGTAGTCTGTATGACCCCATATAGTAGTTATCTCCGGATACACAAGGTGCTTTATTCACGTAGCGTTGTATTAAGCAAATATACCCCATTAATAACATCGCTGATTATAATGTCGATCATGTCAACCAACAAAAGTGTTCTTCTCTCGAGCTGCTGAACGTTTTCTTGAAACCCAGTTGTTATTAAACCAGGGTATGCATACCCCTGGGTTGACGCGAGAGAAATCCAGCTGGTACGCGATCAAATCTCTCGCGATATCGTCACTTAACCCATTTTTTTCTGATTACATGTTTGGCGGACTTTCTCACCTTTTTTCCCTGATAGAAAGAGACAATTTGCTGCTTTCTGTGTTCGCTCTTTGATTAGCGTACCGAATCCCATTTGAATTAATCTCAGATCTCTTACTGACAATTTACAAGATGAATTTGTAGCATTTTTGTACGACTCAATCGCCAAAGGTTTTTTTTTTTTTTTTAATTTCATCCTTAGGAATGTTTTGGAGTTCATCACATATAAAATTTGTGGAAATTGTTTTGCTGTTCCCAACCACTTTCCGTTTTAAACAATTTCTTTTCAGAAATACGTTTAATAAAAAAAATAAATTTCTAGAAAATTCTGTCAATTGAGAATTATATACGTATGCGCCTCTCAGAATTGGGAAAACATTTATTTTGACATATTTTGCCGATCATCAGAATAAACGGATTTTATTCCGACGAAATCTACAGGGTGGTCCAAATGTCTTGTCACCCCTACCAAAAAAAAAATAATGAGAAAAATAGAAGAATAAATAGTGCAGTAATACAAAACACGTGTACTGGATTCAGTTTATTCACACATCTAGCAGGTCTGTATGGACACCATTTTTGTGGCACAAAATAATGCGGCGTCATGTCTTGTGTGATATTTTACGAAGCTGTTTTTTTGTTGGTTGTTGCAAAGGTTCTCCGAACGGCGTCCTTCAACTGATGAGCATTCTGGTATCGTTCATGTGAAACTCTCTCCTTGATAATACCCAACAAATATTTTTAGGCTTGTCATTGAATTGAAATCTACAGGGTGGTCCGAAAATCTTGTCAACTGCTACCAAAAATAATGGGAACAATAGAAGAACAAGTAATATAGTACAGTGTAACCCGGATGTAAGAGACCCTGGTATAAGAGAAACCCGGATATAAGAGAGATTGTCTCTGGTCCCAAATTAGAGCCCATACTTACCTAAACAAAATAGACCAAACCCGAATATAAGAGACTTCTTCTCCGGTCCCGACAACTCTCTTATATCCGGGTTACACTGTAATACAAAACACGTGTACTGGATTCAGTTTATTCACTTTCATTGATGCTGTTACACATCGAGAAGGTCCGTATGAACAACATCATTTTCTTGTCAGCCATCTGAAATCGAAAATTATATTATGTAGGGATGACAAGACTTTCGGAACATTGGCGAGACAAAACGGGATTCACGTTAGTCATATCAACGCTGTTGTTGATTTGTAACTTTAACTGTATCTATATTTTTTTTATTTATTTATTCATTTATTTTTAGATTTAACTAATTTAAACTTGGATTTTATCTATATTAATTTGTTTTAAGATATTTCGTATCCCATGTTGTTTCAACATCAGTTCAATAAGATCGGAAGCTATTATCCACAGAACTTGGCACTTTCAAAGCATCTTCTTCTAAACAAACTATATTTATTTTTTTTAATAACGGCATTTGCCAGATCAGAATTCTTATCACGATACTTTCGCTGGCATACAAAACCAACGTGTATGTTGTTTAATTTCAAGGTTCTTTCATGTTCTTTCATTGTTTACGTTAAAATTCTGAATTTTTCACCGATGTATTTTGGGGAGAATTGTATATATTTTGTGTCGTAAATTACTGGTTTTGGAGTATACAGGGTGCGATGGATAAATTGTCGTTTAAATTATGCAAAAATGAAAATAACACAAACATCTCATTTTAACAAATATATTTACCAAAGTTACACAAAAATATCTAAAGAGTAAATTTATTCAATAAAATTGCCATTGGCTTCAACCACGGCCTCCAGACAACTTCAGAATCTCCTGCAGCTCTCATGGACGGTCTCGTTGTTTAAGTTGGTGAATGCTGCCATAATCCTTGCCTTCAGATCATCTTTAGTGTTACAAGGAATTTTGTTGGTCTCTCACTCAACTGCGCTCAAGGGGGTTGCAGTCTGGGGTGTTAAGAGGCCAGATGTAAGGGGTGATGTGGTCGCAGAAATTGTCTCTCAGCCATGATTGGATATTCCTGTTTGTGTGGCACAGTGCAGATTCCTGTTGCCAGATATAGGTACTTCCAGCAGGAACTATCTTGACCCAAAGCAGCACTACCCACTCAAGGCACTTGATGTAGGCTTCCGTGTTGAGTCTGAGGCCCTAACCAACAAATTTTGTAGTTCTTTCTTATCAGAACGATCAGAGTGAGTTTTCCGAGCTGCCGTACCTTCGTAATCACCATTAGATTCATCCAACTCTTTCCAAATTCTCTACACTGTCATCAGATTGACACCCAGACATTGCGAAATGTTCGTATTGGATATTTCGGCGCGAATGTCAAGCAGTACAGTATGCCGTTTCCAAATTTCTGGCGGAGTGAATTGCATCATGGTGCTCTTTTTCTCACAGACGGTGCCCAACTGACCCTACTATACTGTGCAGCCGACAAAATAAAAAGCAAAGCGCATGCGCGAAGTTAAAAATATAAAATGGCGACAGTTTACCCATCTTACCCTGTAATTAGCACCTGAAGAAGTTGGGAGGCCACAACAGTCGAAACGTTGGGATAATAACTATAAAGATGAAGATATTAGCCTAGCTGTAAATAATGATAATTCATAATCCCAGAAATTGAGACAAAAAGCTCAGCTTAGTTTAATCAATTTGCCAAAGCCCGACCCAAAAGAATCACTTAGAATAAAATTTGGCTTCAATACAAATGCATTTAGCACAAACCAGAACCTGAACTTGGGACAACGAAAACAATATATTTCGCGGTTTTAAAATTATGTTCAATTTATTCTGGTTAATGAAGAAAATCAGAAATTTGAGAAAGTTTCAATTGTCCATGGCCGAAACTTTAACAAAATGGAAAAAAAAAATTCGGGCCATTTTTTTTTTTTTTCTCAGATTTATGAAAATTAAAATATAAGAAGATAACTGGTATGTCCATCATCGGAATAGAGATAAAATAAAATAAAAACTGGAAACTGGAGGCAACAGAAATGTGACTCTACAGAAAGATGCTGAGGATACCATAAACGGAACATGTAAGCAACGAGAAAGACTTAAATTAAATGAAAACAAAAAATGACACTTATACTCAGAATTTGAAATCTTTCGGATACATAATGAGAAAAGTAAGCCAGGAGAATTTGACACTGGCAGGTCATATCAAAGGTAAAGGGGACATGGAAAGGCGTCAGCTACCTACCCCACGAGCTAATGTGGAAAGATGCGAAACGGTGGTGTAGGAGAGATAGCAAAAAGATAAAACGTTACTTAGAGCTACAATAGATAGGGAGTTATGGAGAGCTATAATAGTTCGCTTCCTGAAAGGACAAAACACACAATAATAATAATAATAATAATAATGGAAATGTTAGAGAATTCGGAATGTATCAAGAGCTTTTCTTTTTGGTATATAGACTTTACAAATTTAAACGCAGTACTAGATTGGCAATTAGATCCCATCATTTTACAGTTGGAAGTATTAGATATAACCGAATTTTATATTCTAACAGTTTCTTTGCTTGACCGTCTCAATTATAGACATATTTCTTTTTTTAAGCGTTTCACCCCAAGCAAGGCGGGAGGCCACTAGGACGCAAGTGGTTACAGAAGATTTGGAGCAAGATCAGATAGGAGTGATAAAGGAAAGGATGAGGAGAAGGGTAGTGGATAGATCAAGGCAACTGGAGATGTCGATTGACATTACATTTGAATAACTGGAGATTATAGCTCTCAGGGAAACTGTAATAGGGAAGGGAGTTCCACAGGTGAGATGTGCGAGATATGAAGCTATTGGAGTAGAAGAGACGGCTACATTTAGGAGTTTCGACAGTGAAAGGGTGAGAGCGGGATGCCAGCCTCGTAGGGCGCTTGAATTCATGAAGTCTGGGAACCAGCGAATGCAGATCCTCGGGGCAATTGCCATGAAAGTATTTGTAAAAAAGACAGAGAGAGGCGATGACACGTCTGTGAGAGAGCGACTGTAGACGAGATGCCAGATCAGGGCCAATTATATTGCATATCCGCCTCTGGAGCCTATCAAGAACCTCGAGGCAAACAGAAGAGGCTCCAGATATCTTCCAAGGTCTTGCATTGCAGTCAACTTTGATCTTCAGAATTTTAAATACATTACCAGTCGTTATCTTTTGTCTTCCAAATCCCTATACTTTTATTATTTTTTCCATCTTCTCATATCATTTCAAACTCAGATTTAGTGGCTTTATTGCCTTGCGTCATAGTGTCATTATAGCCTTGCTTGGATGGAATGATAAAAAAAAACAGCTCTATAAGAGAATTCAAGAGGATTAAGGAATTTGCTGTCACTTGTTCTCCAGCAATGTCTACTTGCTATTTCTGATATGAAGATTTAATAATAATAATAATAATAATAATAATAATAGCTACGTTTCCGTTCTTATCAGTCACTGTGGTTTTTCACTCGGCCCGGCGTGGAGCAGGGAAAGGCTCCATCACTGACTCAATCACCCATACCATCTTATTCTCAATTAATCTTCAACTTTGCTTGCTTCTCAGCAGATGGAACAGGAAGATGATAGGGTCTGGCATTAATTATGCAGAAGACATTTTGCAAAGAATGAAGAATAAAGAAGTAGCACAAATGGAGAAAGGAGGGTGGCGCCGTCGCACATGCCTCAAGAGATACACATAGATGCACTAACGTTTAAGTTTTCAGAAAGTCATTGGTCTCTAAGCATATCTGAAAAAATAATTTTCCTAAATTGTGCGTTCTTCTGTGAGTGTGTGTGTGTGCGCGCGCGTGCGCGCCTTGTGTGTGTGTGTGTGTGTGTGTGTGTGTGTGTGTGTGTGTGTGTGTGTGTGTGCCTTTCAGCAGTTTTCTCTCTACACATTATCAATACAAGAGAAATGAGAAGACACCGGTTTTTTCTCGTATAGGATTTATTGAAGAGTTCATAAGGATCGAACACATATAGTTACTGGCCCTGTTTTCCATCCTACAAGTATATGCACTATATATATATATATATATATATATATATATATATATATATATATATATATATTGAAAGATTTTGGGAAAAGCAATGGGAAAGTGAAAAAAATATAAAATATTATACCGTGAATACAAAAGGGATCTTTTACAAAACAAGATATTTAATGCATTAGTTGCTCACCTAAACGGGTCTGCTACTTTAATTAAAACGAGAAAGCGATTTACTAAGACGAAAATGCATAGTGTTTTAATCACTAGAACATCCACAGTAAATTTACGTCCACGTTCTTACAAAATTTCATTTTTCTTTTTCAGATCTTCTATTATCATGTCGGATATTTAATAACAAAAATAATAAAAACATAAAAATAAAAAACTGAACGAAATTGTCTAGGCTATATACCCAAACACATTTTTTTTTTAAATATTTAAAAATTTAAATTTAAAATGTCAGCATCCCGCCTCCTTCTTGAACATGTTTAATTGCATCACCTTAAACATCACTTTAGTCCGATGAAGTCCTAAAGGACGAAACGCCTCACACGAAAAATCTTTTTGCCATAGATTTTTCATATATATATATATATATATATATATATATATATATATATATATAAATTACAGATAGATGAAAATCCCCCCCCACATAAAACCTGTTGAGTTGATAAGTCCGTTGGAAGGACGAAATGGCCATTCTTGTGGCGGAGTGATTTTCATCTATCTGTAATTCATATATGCTCTGTAATAAATACACCGAGCTCTTTTCTGTGAAACAGTTTTAATATTTTATATTACTAAGATTCACTTGGATTACTTCCACGGTTTTTTAGCAATACACACACACACACACACACACACACATATATATATATATATATATATATATATATATATATATATATATATATATATATGAAGAATGAGAATATATACGTATCTACCAAGTTTACCAGCATTTGGAACAGCGGTACAAATTGAAGTACTCAGTGAGGCTCAAATTCATTAGTTAAGCAATTATCTTATCTTATTTCATCATAGACATCCCGGAAAAAAACTATATAAATTAGCGCCCGCTAACGGTGTAAAGGTTAGTTCCCTTGAATCTTCGATTATTACTTCTAAATAGGGAGTTCCAAGATTTTCACTGTGCTGTGAAAGTTGTCGAGCTAAACAATCTTTCTCGTCAGAATCTATCTTACATATTTGTAAGACGAGCTTTCGTCCTTGCTGTAAACATTGCTGCTACATATGCTCTGGCACTACTGCTATGTATCTAGAGATTCGTGTGAAAATCCGAAGAACAATCTGCAATATTATCGGTCCTAGTCTATTATCTCGACTTCAGTCACTTTCACACCGCCTTATAGCCTTCCTATACATTTTTTCTATTGATATAGTAATTATGGGATTAGTATTTAAAATGTAAAAACATTGGAAGAACAAGGCCAGTTTACCTCGTTATGAATTCTGGGGAAGTAGCTAGAATCAAAACCGGATGAAGCCAAAAGAAAACACTATATAGGAGGGAAGAGTGAAAAGCCTTTATTTGATTGGCTGACGTTGACTGACGTATGTCAATAAGAACTGTCGGAATAATAGCCATATCTGATTTTTTTTTTTTTTGGCAATGTCGAGTAGTGTAGCACGACGCTATCAAGGATGCAGCCTGACCCTTTTGGAATCAGGTCGGGGTTGCTCTTTGAGCCGATATGATGCAAAACCCGAAAACGGCGATGAAGACAGTGCATCAATGAAGACCACCCTTGATGCATTCGAAATGTATTATTCAACTTGAAGCGCAGTACTAGATTGGCAGCTAGGTTTCATCATTTCACAGTTGAAATGTCTGGGTGTAACCATCAGTTCTATGCTAACAGTTTCTTCTCGCAGACTTCTTGCTTGTGAATCTTTTCCGTACCGTTTATTTCCAGTCGATTTTGGTTTATTTTTTTGGTTTTTGGTTTGGTTTGGTTTGGTTTACGTCATATTAACTTCTATGTATTATTTAATACCGACAAGATTTTTATTTTCAAAAATATATTGCTGGTAATAATTTTTTTCTTTAAACATTCATTGCTAGTATTAAAAACTATTTTTACATTTTCATAGTGTTTCGACCTCAATTGCCCATAACTGGGATCCTAACAGGTGTTACCACCCCGGGTCAGGGTGGACCTGGGAACACCAGCAATTAAGAGGTGGTTCAACGCTCCTCAAAACCTCCTGATCAGAGGCCTTGCTGTTGGATGTAGTTCATCGTCTTACCCAGGGCGCGTCAATTTTGTTTTTCTAATATTTTTAAATTCAATGTCAATCGTTATCTTCTGTCTTCTTAATTCCTGTTCTTTTATAGTTCTTTCTCCTTAATAATGTGTTTTTTTTTAGGATTTCACCCCAAGCAAGGCGGGAAGCTACTAGGACGCAAGGGGTTACAGAAGATTTGGATCAAGATCAGAATAAGAGTGATAGAGGAAAGGATGAGGAGAAGGATAGTGGATAGATCAAGACAACTGGAGATGTCGATTGACATTACATTAGAATAGTTGGAGATTATAGCTCTCAGGGAAACTGGAATAGGGAAGGGAGTTCCACAGGCGAGAGGTGCGAGACATGAAGCTATTGGAGTAGAAAGAGACGGCTACATTTAATAGTTTCGACAGTGAAAGGGTGAGAACGGGATGCCAGCCTCGTAGGGCGCTTGAATTCATGAAGTCTGAGAACCAGCGAATGCAGCTCCTCGGAGCAATTACCATGAAAGCATTTGTAAAAAAGACAGAGAGAAGCAACAGCGCGTCTGTGAGAGAGCGACTGTAAACGAGATGCCAGAACAGGGCCAATTATATTGCATATCCGCCTCTGGAGCCTATCAAGAACCCTGAAAAACTATTGCGTCTGTATTGCCTTACTTGGGATGAAAGTATTAATATATATATATATATATATATATATATATATATATATATTTTAAATACGATTAAAATATATACGATTTTTTTTAAATTCTTATTAGATTCCATTTTTATTTTTAAAGTCTTAATTTGGTTGATATAGTACTTATTAATGTATTAGACAGTACCTTATAATTAACTGAAGATAAAAGTGGCCTTGTGCCTGACTTTAAAAATGTATTTGCTTTTGGGGTACTGGCGCCGTCCTGTTCTCTGATTTCTTTAACGGATAATATCTTGTTTTTAAAGCTCTCTACAACAAACCATGAACAACAAACATCTCTTTCAGTAGAATTAATGACCATACACAACGTATTGTTCGCCCAAATAAACACCTACGTAAATAAAAGACTATGTGCGACGTATAAGAGACCAGGAGGCGCATGCGCACAAATAGTATTGTTGTTGTTAGTATTCCATATACAGAAAGGGAGAATATTTTTTTCAAACTGCAAGAGTTAAGAAGAAAATTTATTTTGGGCGAGGGAAATTTTGATCGAACCAGATTAATTGAACAGAAAAAAGGAAAAGTGAAGGGAAATTTACGCCAGGTGCGCGGCGGTGGAGGAATGAAAAAAAAATACAATGACAGAAAGAAGAGAATGGAAATATTTAAATATGAAATAAATAATGGATAAAAAGGAATGGAAACAAAGAAAAGAAGAAAGAAATGGAAAACAATACAAAGGTAAAAAGAGAGGAAAAAAAAAGAAAAAAGGTTAAGAAAGAAAGAAAGAAAGAAAGAAAGAAAGAAAGAAAGAAAGAAAGAAAGAAGAGAGAGATTATAAAAGAAATGATAAACTGACGAAAAATTAAATAGAAAAGAAGAAACGAACGAAGTAAAAAAAAAAGAGAAACTGAAAGAAAAGATGAAAAGAAATAAAAGAAAGAAAGAAAGAAAGAACTGAAGAGAATGGGAAAAAGAAAAGGAAGAATAAACAAAGTAAATAAAAATAAAGAGAGGAAAACAGAAAAAAAAGTGTTAAGAAAGAAAGAAAGAAAGAAAGAAAGAAAGAAGAGAGAGATTATAAAAGAAATGATAAACTGACGAAAAATGAAATAGAAAAGGAGAAACGATCAACGTAAAAAAGGGAGACTTACAAAAGGGGCAAAGAAAGAAAGAAAGAAAGAAAGAAAGAAAGAAAGAAAGAAAGAAAGAAAGAAAGAAAGAAAGAATAAGAAAGAAAGAAAACAGAGAGAGATTATAAAAGAAATGATAAACTGACGAAAAATGAAATAGAAAAGGAGAAACGATCAACGTAAAAAAGGGAGACTTACAAAAGGGGCAAAGAAAGAAAGAAAGAAAGAAAGAAAGAAAGAAAGAAAGAAAGAATAAGAAAGAAAGAAAACAGAGACAGATTATAAAAGAAATGATAAACTGACGAAAAATGAAATAGCAAAGGAGAAAAGAACGAAGTAAAATTGAAAGAAAAGATGAAAAGAAAGAAAGAAAGAAAGAAAGAACTGAAGAGAATAGGAAAAAGAAAAGAAGGAATAAACAAAGTAAATAAAAATAAAGAGAGGAAAACGGAAAAGAAAAAGTGTTAAGAAAGAAAGAAAGAAAGAAAGAAAGAAAGAAAAAGGAAGAAAACAGAGAGAGATTATAAAAGAAATGATAAACTGACGAAAAATGAAATAGAAAAGGAGAAACGATCAACGTAAAAAAGGGAGACTTACAAAAGGGGCAAAGAAAGAAAGAAAGAAAAAGAAATAAAGAAAACAGAGAGAGATTATAAATGAAATAGCAAAGGAGAAAAGAACGAAGTAAAATTGAAAGAAAAGATGAAAAGAAATAAAAAAAAAGAAAGAAAGAACTGAAGAAAATAGAAAAAAGAAAAGGAGGAATAAACAAAGGAAAGAAAAATAAAGAGAACTTGAAAGAAAGAAATTAATTTAAAGTAGATCACTTTAATCAGTTTAATTTAGTTGTAATGACAAAACAATGGTATTCCATGTAGGAAGGTGATACTCAAAGGTAGAAGCCATTTGTCCTCGCAGGTGGCCTTCATTAGGAGCGATGATTTCTTATCTCGGCCTGTCACATTCCAACGCCAGGCAGGCAGCCTACCTTTCACGCATGCAATTTATTAAGATAACATGGCACAATTAGTAAATCAGATAAATGTGTTTCAAGCAGCAAGTCGCCTTTGTACCTATGTATGTATGTACATAAGTATGAAGATATCTATCTCCCATTCTCCCTCTCCCTCTCTCTCTCTCTATATATATATATATATATATATATATATATATATATATATATATAACGTTTATAGTAATCCTATATATACATATATATGTGTGAATGTTTGTGTGAGTGTGGGGGGAGACGTTTTGTGTGTGGGGGCCTTTTTGTGTTTGTATGTGTGTGAGTGTGTGCTTAACCTAGGTAAAAAGCAGAAAGGAAATATCTTTGTTACAGACTTTAATATTAAATTTTTCTATATTCCATACCATGTATTGTATATATATATATATATATATATATATATATATATAAGGATATAAAAGTCATATGTAGCGAACCCACGAGGATATATATATATATATATATATATATATATATATATATATATATATATATATATATATATATATATAATATATTAATATATATATGTAAAAAATTAATTGATTTTTAGCCATATATTTATATTAAATGAATATATTTATAATACTTCATTTTTATCAATACGAATATATATATATATATATATATATATATATATATATATATATACATAGATAGCTCAATATATATATATATATATATATATATATATATATATATATATATATATATATCCATGAATGATATAAATGTATATATAAATATTAATATATATAAGGAATTAATTGATTTTTATCCATAACAATACACTGCGTGCCAAATTATCGAGAAAACTTTTTTCTAATATTTCAAAAACCGTCCAATCAATTCACATAAAATTTTCACACAATGTTGGCAACACTGACCTGCGCAATCTCGTACTGATCTGCGTAATGTAAACAATCTGGCGCCATATTTGTTATCAGCACGGTGATTTGAGCGTGCCAAATTATTAGAAAAATGTAAGAATTTAGTGTAAAGATGGGCCGTAAAAGCAGTTTAAGTGATGCTGAAAAGAAAACTATAACCTCAGAACTCTCAAAAGGTAAATCTACCGTAGAAATTTCTAAAATGATAGGGAGGTGTCATCAAACAGTGAAAAAGTTCACCACCGACCCTACACAAGTACACAAAAGGGCAGTTAAAGGCAAGCCGAGGGTTATTTCACGTCGTCTCATGTCACGACTTAAATGAGAGGCCACGAAGAATCCTGGACTTAGCAGTCAAGAGCTTTTCAGTCGCATTGGGGATCCTACAGTGTGTAAAAGTACTCGGTGTCGGTATCTGAGGGAAGTAGCAACAACAGTCAAGCCTGTATCGAAGCCTCCGTTGACGAGAAATCACATTCAAAATTGATTGAAATGGGCCGAGGAGAATATGAAGATTGACTTCTCTAAAGTTTTGTTCACAGACGAAACTCGAGCAACACTTGATGAGCCAGATAGATGGTGCAAAGGCTGGATAATGAACGGACAGTATCGCCATCAGCGTTTGTGACGCCAACAAGGCGGTGGAGGCATAATGATCTGGGGTGGTATCATTGGAAAACATTAGTCGGCCCATGGAGATTACCAGATGGCGTCAAAATGACTGCTGATGCATACATAGCGTTTATGAAGGAGCATCTTGAGCCGTAGATGAAAAGGCAAAGAGTTGCCTTCAGAAGGGCAATTGTTTTTATGCAAGATAATGCTCCCTCACATGCTGCTCACAAGACTACTGAATATTTGAAACAGTTAGGCTTCGATGGACCCCGAAAAATGAAGTGGCGAGCAAATTCTCCGGATTTAAACCCAATCGAAAACCTTTGGAGCATCATGAAGCGAAGACTGTACGCCAACGGACGACAATTCAGGAGCAACGCTGAATTGTGGGAAGCAATTCTTGACATATCTCGCGGCATTACAGCAGATGACATCCTACAATTAACAAATTCTATGGATCGTCGACTTCTTCAAGTAATTTCAAAACAGGGAAAGCACATTCCCTATTAATTTGCTTAAAACTGTGCCTTTGTTTGTATATATTATCATTTGTTTGCTTATCTTATTTATTAGCTTCTTTTGATCATAAACATTCACGTGCAACATTAATAAACGTTTCGTTTGCTCAATTCTGGGAATTTTACTAAACCTTTCTAATAATTTGGCACTCTCAAATCAACGTGCTGATAACAAATATGGCGCTAGTTTGTTTACATTGCGCAGATCAGTACGAGAATTTCCGGGATTGCGCAGGTCAGTGTTGCCAACATTGTGTGAAAATTTTGTGTGAATTGATTGGACTGTTTTTGAAATATTAGAAAAAAAGCACGGAGTGTATATTAATATTAAATTGATTTTAATCCATAAATGCATGCATGCATACATATATATATATATATATATATATATATATATATATATATATATATATATATATATGTGTGTGTGTGTGTGTGTGTGTGTGTGTGTGTGTGTCTTAGGGATGTGATGAGTAAATTGTCGCCATTTTATGTTTGTAATTTCGTGCATGTGCGTTGTTTGTTTTGATTTTGTGGACTGCTCAGTATAGAGGTTCTGTTGGACACAGTCTGTGAGAAAAAGAGCACTATGACGCATTTCACCTCTCTAGAAGTTTAGAGACGGTATGCTGTACTGTTTGGCATTCCCACCGCAAACTCCAATACGAATATTTCAGAGTGCTTGGGTGTCAATCTGAGGAGAATGTCCAGGATTCGGAAAGAGTTGAATGATATATCAAGTTCACATCATGGTGTTTGGAGCGATCACTAGAGATGGCTAGAACTAAGTATATCTAATTTAAATAATGCGAATGAAGACCAATGTTAATTATAAAAGCTTGTACTTAAGATATTGTCATCGTATGTTTTCAAATTGATATCCGTTATGATCCAGATATTACTGAAAACGCGACACAATGGATTCCCAAACAGCAATCAACATTTCGATCGACTTCTTGGACTTTCTTTCACCCTCTATTACTTCTCAGGGCGTGATTTCATCATAATCCTTTCATATTCACGAATATTTTCCCGTATATTACAATTAAATTTAATCGTAATAAAAGAATATATATATATATCTCTCACATATATATATATATATATATATATATATATATATATATATAGGAGAGAGAGAGAGAGACCCGGGTTTATATCTCACCATGGTCGACTTTTGAGGAAAGAGACTTCCTGATCTTATCGATCCTGAGGGGCGGGTCTCAGCGTACGTCACTTTTGGAAAGATGCCTGAAAACCCTAGCACGGGTTGAATAAAGAATTGTGAGTGAAACTGAGTTCTAGCACGAAGTCGCAAGTCATCGTGACCGAGGCTTTGATCGTGATCAGATTGTTGATCACACTAGATAACACGCTCTTTCCCAGAAACTGTAACTAACGTCTGCTCAGCATAGTTGCAGTATAAACCACGGGTGGGCTTTGTGGGTGTTAAAGAAAACACATACGTGCCTTAGCAAGTGTCTGCAATAGGGATTGGTTAGCCGTCCTAGTCGACGGGTATCCTCGAATACGAGTGGCCAGCTATAGATAGACATACTAAATAGGCAGTATCAGCTAGATAATCAGTTTTATTAGATAATTAGTTTGTAATAAAATACAACAATCTTATTTTATCGTCAAAGTAGTTATCTTATTAGAAATTTATTTCAGTGTGTAATCACTGGAATATCTATTCTTGGTCATTTTTTTTTATTCTTGAATAAATAAAAAGATATCCAGAGAACGAAATGCATCAATCGACACCGAAAATGCGTTGATGATAATTTTTTCTTTCTTTCTAAATATTTCAATTTCAAGAAAAAAAGTTTCTCAAGTCCAGTAACTGTTATCAGTTTTTCCATTACTGATGGCGGTTTCCTTCCTAACTTTTTGTTTAAAGTAGTGTGGAAATTCAACATCGTTATTGTATCTTTACTTTCTCATTTTAGTTGTTGCTGCTTTTAAAACTCTTCAAGTGATATAGTTTCTGTTAACATTGTTCAATATTTGTGATTCTGTATCGCTAGTCCATGACGCAATTTGAAGGCTGGTCTTCGCTACAAGATACGCGCTTCATTCTCTCGAAGCCATTTTTAGCCACTGATCTGAAAAGGGCTATTCAACCGACAGTTTAGATATTCCTGGACGAGTTTGGTGGCATGTATAAGACCCATATTAACGCCTCAATCTGACGAGGCTCTACATTCAGATATATTAACGTTTAGAGGCTGAAATAGACCCGGGTATATTTGCCTATAGAATAGCCATATATACAGCTCTACAGAGATGGGCCGCCTGCTGCAGAATCACTAATAGCAAGTGGAAGTGAGTTTGCTGCTTACTGAGTATTAAAATATTTCTGATTTTGTAGCTCAGCGATACTAAGTACATAGATAGATAGATAGATAGATAGATAGATAGATAGATAGATAGATAGATAGATAGATAGATAATACACTTAAAGTATACATGCCCATCATTATCATGAGTGAATGGAGACGACTAATTCAACATTTCCTCTTAGAATTACACCCAAAATATATAGATAAACAAAGAGATAGATATATAGAATGAAAATAGATAGATAGATAGATAGATAGATAGATAGATAGATAGATAGATAGATAGATAGATAGATAGATAGATAATGAATAGAGAATACATTTAAGGTATGCATATCCAATATTAGGATAAGTGGATGGAGACGAGTAATTTTCAGCACTCTCTCTTATAATTAGACCGCCCAAATAGATAGATAGATAGATAGATAGATAGATAGATAGATAGATAGATAGATAGATAGATAGATAGATCGGGAATGCACTTGAGGTATTCATGCCCAACATTATCACAAGTGGATCGAGACGAGTAATTTTCAATACACTTTCTTATACTTAGATCCCTAAATAGATAGATAGATAGATAGATAGATAGATGCTCACACAGACGCACATTTGTATATATGGATTTACACAGACATCTTGTGGAAAAATTAAAAGAAAATTACTTAAAGAATTCAAAACATTGAATTTCCTAATTTTTCTTTAATTCTTTTTAAATACTTTTCTCAGTTCTATTGATTTGTCTTC